GGAGAATGGCGTGAACCCGGGAGGCGGAGCTTGCAGTGAGCCGAGATCGCGCCACTGCACTCCAGCCTGGGCGACTGAGCGAGACTCCGTCTCAAAAGAAAAAAAAAAAAAAAAGTTTAGGCATTATTCTGTCTTATGGTTACTCCATTGAAGAGAATGTATCTTTTTTCCTCTGACTGCTGTTAAGTTTTTCTCTTCATTTTCCAGTTTTACTGTAGTGTGCATAGGTTTGGTTTCTGTTGTTTTTATTTTGATAAATAGAAAAGGTTTATAGTACTTTTGCAAAACCATGACTTAATGCCTTTTATCCATTTTGATAAATTCTCAGCTGTTATTTGTTCAAATACTGTCTGCCCCATTTTATGTTATACTCTGAAATCTTATCCCCTATGTCTATTATGACGTTTTCTGTATTTTCTGTTTTCCTTTTGTCTCTTTCTGCCTCATTCTAGATATTTTCTTTTGACTCATGTCCTAGTGGATTAATACATGCTTGGAAATTCTGCCTCTAAGCTTTTAATCTGAAGAAGCAATCAGATATCTACACAGGAGATTTATGTTCAAATATTTCTAGTAATACGGATTGTTTTAATAAATTGTAGTATATCTGTATAATACATTCCTATGTGGCAATAAAAATTATGATGTAGAATATTTAATAACATAGAAAGATGATATATAAAATAAGTGGCAAAACTAGGTTATAAAGCATTATATTATCTCAATTTTTAAAAATACACAGAAAAAGACAAAAAACATCAAAATATAAAGTTTTAGCTATGGATTGTGAGATTATGACAAATTTTTAGTTTATTTTTGCTTCTCTGTATGATGCAAATTTTTGCAGTAAAAAATATATTATTATTATAAAGGGAACAAAAGTTATTTTTCAAACCCTGATTAAATTTCTAAAACTCTATTTTATCCAGAATACACCTTTTTGTAAAGAAATATGTGCTTATTCTGGACTTTGACAATGCTTGACTTAGACGTAGATATAACTAGTGAAAATTGGTCATGATTTTTTAAACATGGAGATAAACCCTTTAAATAAGAATCGTGTTACAAAGGGACTCTTCACAAAAATTTCTTTACAAAGTATCTTTTTTTTTTTTTTTCCTGTGTGTGGGTATGTGTGTGTTTGAAACAGAGTCTCACTCTGTTACCCAGGCTGGAGTGCAGTGGTGTGATCTCTGCTCACTGCAACAACCTCTGCCTCCCGGTTTGAAGCAGTTATTGTGCCTCAGCCTCCCAAGTAGCTGATGTGCCACCACACCAGCTAATTTTTGTATTTTAGTAGAGATGGGGTTTCACTATGTTGGCCAGGCTGATCTCGAAATCCTGACCTCAAGTAATCCACATGCCTC